AGGAAGTGGGAGGGGAGCTGTTGCATTGTGGTAAACTGTGGTCAATGTCATGAGACAAAGTATACCTGAACCACTGTATGGAAAGTGAATTTGCTCTGTAAACCTTCAACGAAATCACAATTTAAAAAAATAGTACACGCTGTATATGCTAGCTACATTTTTTTAGCCTGTACTGTTTCAGAGCTGACTGGAATAAACCATCAACTACTCATATGCAAGTCGAAGTAGAAGCTGAAGACAATTAAAACATGTCCACGAGAGCCAAAATATGACCTGAAATGCATCCCACCTGAATTTAGAGACCATCTAAAGAACAGATTTGACACAATGAACAGCAATGACCGAAAACCAGACGAACTGTGGGATGACATCAAGAACATCATCCGTGAAGAAAGCGAAAAATCATTAAAAAGACAGGAAAGGAAGAAAAGACCAAAATGGATGTCAGAAGAGACTATGAAACTTGCTCTTGAATGGAGAGTAGCTAAAGCAAATGGAAGAAATGACAAGATAAAATTGCTGAACAGAAGATTTCAAAGACCAACTCAAGAAGACAATTACTATAATGAAATGTGCAAAGACCTGGAGCTAGAACCAAAAAGGAAGAACATGCTCAGCATTTCTCAAGCTGAAAGAACTAAAGAAAAAGTTAAAGAAGATGAAAGGAATACACAAGCACTGTACCAGAAAGAATTGGCTGATGTTCATCCTTTTTGGTGGGGGTGGCATATGATCAAGAACCAATGGTATTGAAAGAAGAATTCAAAGCTGCACTGAAGGAATTGGCGAAAAACAAAGCTCTAGGAATTGACAGAATACCCAGTGAGATATTTTAACAAATGGATGCTTCGCTGGAGGCACTTACTTGTCTATGCCAAGAAATATGGAAGACAGCTACCTGGCTAACTGACTGGAAGAGATCCATTATTTGTACCCATTCCAAAGAAAGGTGATCCAACACAATGCAGAAATTATCAAACATCATCATGAATATCACACCCAAGTAAAATCTTGCTGAAGGTAATTAAAAAACGGTTGCAGCATTGTATTGACAGAGAACTTCCAGAAATGCTAGGTAGAGTCAGAAGAAGATGTGGAATGCAGGATATCGTTGCTAATCTCAGAAGGATCTTGGCTGAAAGCAAAGAATACCAGAAATATATTTCCTTGTATTTTAATGACTATGCAAAAGCATTTAATCACAACAAATTATGGATAACATTGAGAAGAATGGGAATTCCCAAACACTTAGTGGTGCTCACGAGGAACTGTCCATAGACCAGGAGGGTATCATTTGAACAAAACAAGGGGATACTGCATGGTTTAAAATGAGGAAGGGAGTACGTTAGGGTTGTATCCTTTCACCATACTCGTTCCATCTGTACACTGGGTAAATAATCAGAGAAGGTGGACTATGTGAAAAACGCAGCAACAGGACCGAAGGAAGGATCATTAACAACCTATGATACACAGACTACACAACCTTACTTGCTGAAAGTGAAGGTGACTTGAAGCACTTACTGATGAAGATTAAAGACTACACTCTGCAGTATGGATTACAACTTAACAAAAAGAAAACGAAAATCCCCACAAGTGGACCAATAAGCAGCACCACAATAAATGGAGAAATGACTGAAGTTGGCAGAGATTTCATATTGGTTCCACAACTAAGACCAATGGAAGTAGCCACCAAGAACTCAGATGACACACTACACTGGGCAAATGTGCTGCAAAAAACCTCTTTCAACTGCCGAAGAGCAAAGATACCTCTTCAAAGACTAAGGTGCACCAAGCCACAGGGTTTTCAATCACCTCATATGCATGCAAAATCTGGACAATGAATAAGGAAGACTGAACAAGAGTAAGAGCAAATGCTTTTGAGGTGTGTTGGTGAAGAATACTGAAAGTACCATGGACTGCCAGAGAACTAACTAACAAGTCCCAGAAGAAGTACAGCTGGAATGTTCTCTGCAAACCAGAATGCCCAGACTTTATCTCACCTACTTTGGTCATGCTGTCAGAAGAGACCATTCCCTGGAGGAAAGTATCATGGTTGGGAAAATGGAGTCAGCAAAAAAGGTGAAGGCCCTCAACAAGATGGACTGACACAGCGGCTACAACAATGGGCTCAGGTATAGCAAGCACTGTGAGCTTGGAGCAGGACTGGGCAATGTTTCATTCTATTGTACACAGGGTTGCTATGAGTTGGAGCCACCCGATAGCACATAACAACAAGAAGTTTCAAGTACTGTGCTAAGAGTTTTACATATACAATTTTCATTTCATCCTAATGGCCTTCTGATACAGCTACTGTTATTATTGCTGCTTTACAAACAGGAAAATGTAGGTTCCAAACTTGCCTCAGGTCACACAGTTAGGACCTGGCCAAATCAGAAGGCAAACTCCAGTCTGACCCAAACCTGTGCTCTCAATTACTCCATACAGCATAGAAAAGAGGGGGAAAGAAGTATGCCAACATGTGGTTCTCTCTTCATGGTGAGATTTTCTTTTTTATTGCTCAAATCTGTATCTTATTTCCTATGTCTATGTTTTGGGAGCTCTGGTAGCATAGTGGCTAAAGCACTTGACTGCTAACCAGAAGGCTGGCGGTTCAAACCCACCAGCCACTCCTCG